AAATAAATGGCAACACTATAATTAAACTAGAGTCTTCTAACATTTCAGTTTGTTCTTGTGTTCACCTTTCTTCCTTTCCTCCACAGAACAAAGCTAACCTTCATGCTAATTCATGCAGGTTCAAGTGAATTGACACAGATCTCAGAAATATTAATAGTCCAGACGCCATTTCTACTATTTACTAAAACTATGTTTTAAAGCAAGTTTAACTTGACTGAACCTATGTTTGTTTCTCCATTTAAATAATGGAAATACTACAAACCCTCATGAGTCATTGTGAGAACTAAGTAAGTCGATGTATGTAAAAACATTAGCATAATGTTCAACGCATGGTACCTGTGGGTTAAATATTGTTTATAATCATTGCTACTTATTTGTAGGCAATAAATTTGAGCACATGAGAGGATTTTATTTTCCTGGATAGATCTTGGTGCCACAAATATGTTCTGACAATGCTGACTTAAGATGACCAGGAGGCCAAGAGAACAACACAGCTCATTCTTAGCCTTTGTTATCTGAGTCCCTTCCAAGGAGAGCTTGTCTCTTGATTTGGGCAGATAGCAGCCCTTAGCTCCTGCTAGAGCCTCAGCCATCACACATGACCTGCTCACATTTCCCAACATCCACATGTCGGTATGGTACCACAGGAGGGAATGGTTGCACACATCTTGTTTTTTTGTTTTTTGTTTTTTTTTTTTTCATTTTCTCTGTATTTCATTTTCTTCTGTCCCCTCAGAGGTGGGCTCAAAGAGAAAGGAGAGAAAGAAGCTGCTGGCTATAAAGCCAAGACCACAGGGATGGCAGATCCCAACCAGGGACAAGCACCTCATCACCATCTCACCATGTGCCCCAAGAGCTGACCCTGATGACGTAGGCCGGAGAGACTCTGGCTTCTTTGGGAGACATTTGGTGTTTGAACAACTTTCCAACTTAACCACTCTAAGACCCCTCCTTCTCCCCATCCTCTTTCTCACTATGCCCATACTGCACTATCACTGTCTGTTAGTAGTTTGCTTTAAATATTTTTTAGTTACTTTTGATTTACTGTATCTACTAGTTTTTCTTTTTAGTGAAATTTGTTTCTGACTTCAACAGAACATGAGAAAAATTTAAAAAGCTAAAGAGATTGGCCCTGGAGCCAACAAACCCATCAAAAAGATGTTCACACAGGAGGATTATTTTAGTTCCAAGCCAACCTAACTGTAAGAAACAAACAAGAACACCACACAAGCAAACAAAATATGAAGAAAGTAATGACACCTCAGAATGAACCCAAAGGCCAGTTCTTAATAAAATACCTCAACTAAACACATAATTATTTTAACTAAGAAAAGAAAAACTTAAATTTCACTCCTTCCTGCTACTACTTTACTTTAGTGTGCTTTAACTTATATCATACCAATGTGTTATAATTATAGCATAGCATGCTATAATAAATTGCAAAATATTATATGGCTTAATATAGTCACTACAGTATATTCCATAATTTCACATATGAGGTGCTGTGTGATTTCAGTAACATACTTTTGTCTTAGTTAGGGTTTCTATTACTGTGAAGATAACCATGATCACAGCAACTCTTACAAATGAAAACATTTAATTGGGGCTGGCTTACAGTTTAAGAAGTTCAGTCCATTGTCATCAGGAAGAGAAAATGAAACTGAGGGGACCTGGCTTGAGTATCTGAAACCTCAAAGCCAGCTCCACCCCATGACACACACTTCCTCCAACAAGGCCACACCTACTCCAACAAGGCCACACCTACTCCAACAAGGCCACACCCACTCCAACAAGGGGAGACCTCCTAATAGCGACACTCCCTATGAGCCTATTGGGGGCCATTTTCATTTAAATCACCACAGCCACCAGGCCTGATAAAGTGAGTCTGATCTCTAGGACTATGTGGTGAAAGGAGAGAACAAACTCCTACAACTGCAAGTTGTCCTCTGGTCTTCTCATGTGCAGCATAACATTGGCATAGCAAAGAAAATACACACACACACACACACACACACACACACACACACACACACACACCACAACCACAACTCAACTCAAAATAAACAAACTAGTGCATGAGTAACAGTGTAGCTAGAGAAATGACTCTGTGGGTAACATATTTGCCGAACAAGCATGAGAACTGAGTTCAGATTCCAGCACCTACATGAAAGCTGGATGTGACAGAACTCACCTCTAACCGCATATCAGGGGCAGAGATAACCAGATCATGGGAATTTGCTGGCTGCCAGCCTAGCTGAAATAGCAACCTCCAAGTTCAACCAGAGACCCTATCTCAAAAATATAAGACGAAGAGCAGAAGAGGACATCTCAATATCAGCCTCTGACCTTCGCACGTGCTTGTACGGATGAGCAAACCCTCACATACATGTGCATGCCCATGTATACTACACACATGGAGAACACACACACATGCACACGGTCACACACAAATCATCCTGAACCAGACTAACACAATTCAAAACCCAAATACATTTTAAAGTGACAACAGCAAGAAGATTATCGCAACGAAATCTTTTGACAACACGAGATGGAGGTGGCTCACTCACTGCGTCAAGTCCTCGATGCATAAGTGGGAGGACTTCCATTTGATCCTCAGTAACCACAGAAAAGCTAGAACAGGTGTCACGTGTCTGTAACCCAAGAGCAGGAGTTGATGCTACAGAGAACTTCAGGGCCTTGCTTTCCAACCAGTCTAACTGTAGCAGTTAGTTCTAGGGTCAGTAAAAGTGCTGTCCTCAGAAAATAAGACAAAGTAGCAAAGGGAAGACATGGTGAGGGCAAGTTTATATTGCTCTACAGGTGATCAAATGGACAGGTTTTGTCCCCCTCTACACAGAGGAGGACACACATACACACAAACTCTGACAGCAGCTTAAGCCATCACTTGTGACATTTTAAGAAATGTATTCATGATAGTGGATGGTATGTTTCCTTACTTGGTTATTCTCTCCCACTTTGCTGTTAGCACTGAGATCAGGATAATGCTCACTTGTTTACTGATGCATTGCTTTAGCAAGTGTTACTGCTAGCTGATGCTGAGTATTGGCACTAAGACCCAGGGATCTACCCACAAATTGTAATATGAATACTCCACTAAGCTTAAAGTCTAAAGATAATTATATGAGCAAGTTAAAAAAAAAAAAAAAAACAATGCTCAGAGCAGGGAGCTCCACTAATGGATAAGGAAAGGATATAATCTCCATTGGGAGAGTAGCAGATACTTTATTATTGGAGGGATTGTGGGGTGGGTTGGAAGCAGGCTGTTTCAGAGAAAGGAAAGGATGTGTGTGTGTGTGTGTGTGTGTGTGTGTGTGTGTGTGTGTGTGTGTGTGTGTGTGTGTATGTGAGCGCACGCGCGCGCGTGTGCAGATCCTGCAGGATAAAACATCACTTGTTACTCAATCTTCATTTAATCTTTAATCATCCTGGTTCTTGATGCTTGTGCACCAATTGCATTTTATTGGAAGATACAACTTCTTTCCTCGGTTTCTTGGGTCAATTTGTTTGGAAGATAAAGAATTATCAATATCTAAGAATCTGTGAAGTTGTCAGGATAAAAAGGAAGAAAAGCAATCAAAGGATTAGTTTTCTTACAATACAAAAAGACACCTGGGCCCTGGACAA